CATAGTCTCCTTGATCTTGAATGACCCAATAATACTTTACTGTATAATAATGTAGAATACAACTTATACAATAATGTTATCAGTTCTTAGGAACTTTTTCTGAGTTTGCCTACAATTCAGCAACTACGTAATACACCATTACATGTCACTGCGACCCTAGTTGTTGAGTTTATTGTAAGCTTTAGAGAGTTCCTGATTGCAGATAACTTAATCATTTAATATTTCAATGTTTAATCCTTAATTTGTTTGTATAGGCTATCAACTATAACATTATATCTTCTAGAGTATCTATGAGTTTGCAATACTTTAAGACTTAGTAACATAAATGTTACATGTCATAGCGACACCAGTCACAGAGTTTATTGTAGGCTTTATTAGTCATTAACTTTAGATGATTCACAATACCTTAGATGATTCACAATACCATGTTAAATTCAACATGATTTCTTTACAAGACTCAAATTTCTTGTATGTCCTTGACAGTTACGGGACATCCGTTATGTGTGTACTAACATACTAACATTAATACTAACTTCGGGATAGGTATGTCAGTACTCAACATTGCACTGCGACCCGAGAAATCTCCCCCCGTAGTTATGTTTGAAATTTCCAACACTAATACACTACTATTGTATTATAATAAATCATTATTATTATATACTAACTACAGTAGTCACTAAATTTACTAACAGTAGTGTTCACATAAACTAACCATTATATCTGCGTATTAATGCTAGAATTCTTACGAAATATAGCACTAACATTGCGTCAGATTATATCTAGTTAAACACATTTATTGCCAATGTGCTAGAGAATTGAATGTGGTTCTCTAAAATCATCAGTATTCCGTGTGATAATTATTTACGGATAACATAACTCCCAAATAATTCTAAATCGAGAGTTTTTAGTTACAATTGTTATCAAGTAATAGTTTTTCTGTCACGCGTGAATGCCATGGAGAAAACTAAAATCTTCTCCATTTCTCGTTTACCACCATAAGACGAGAAAGCGATAATATTTAAATCCCTAGAATCTCAACCCAGTCCTTATTAAAGTATTTCAACCACAATTTTGCGAAATAGTAGTATTCGTGAATTAATAATTTCTGTGGTGAATGCGAGACGCGGGTTGAGGGAGGAAGGAGACGCCATTGCGTTGCGGAGCGAGCAGCCAGCGTGCGTACTTGGACAGAGGAAAGTCGCGGCGTCAGAGTCTGAGACACATGGCGTTGGGGAGTTATCAGCAAGAATTACACTGATACCCAACTTATAACGAATAATTATTCTTCCACGTGCTCCATAGTGCTCGGTCAAAGGAATAATAACGAATAATTATTCGTCGAGAATCAAGCCAAACTCTCAATCACGTGTACAACATCGTGGAAGTTTGAGACTGAGACGCGATATCGGCAGACTTCAGCATTTACTGCGCTCGTGCTAAGTATATTTTCTTTCTTGATGCATCATTAGAGATTGTATATTTCGTGGGTAGTCTGTCATTACATAGTGGGACAACAAAAAATCCAACGTTAGTACCGCATTAATATTAATTTTCTATTTTCATAAATTTTGAGATTTAAGTAGCCTAGTTCAATGCTACGTAACATCCTTTAAATTGCAGCTCGTATATGAGGAGTCAACGAGTCGTTAACTACATTCGTGTTATTCACCTCTAATGGCTTCTATGTGGAGATCCTGAGATCACGAGGACGAAGCACGAACGATGTCATAGAAATCGTCTTAAAGCTAAGACTTTTTGTACACATTTAATTATTCCATTTTATTATACATATCCATAATATTATCATATCGAGTATTTACTATATGAATTTGGAGATTGATGTGTTTACTTAGATGATTGCTCTTTAATTCTAACAATCATTAATATTCTCTATTTGAATTTACCTATTGATTCTATAATATTTTGGTCATAATATTCTTTACTCAACAATGAACTGGTGACGAACCACACTAGTTCCTAGACGTATATGAAGTTCTAGCAATACCCCCCCAATGTAGGTGTTTGAGGCTCTGACTTTAGTTAATTAATCATACAGTCCATTATTTATTTAAGTGATTATTCTTTCTAATACTTATCCATAGACACTGGTTCTTCCTTGTGTTTCTAATGATCACTTTTTATTAGTTTCCCTCTTTTCTCAAAAGTGGGTGGTCCTTCGTTATTAAATTAAATTAATTAAATAATTAAATAATTGAGTCAAGCCCCAGATATCCCACAAGTCTTGCCTCACCCAGCAGTCTTGCCTCACCCAGCAGTCTTGCATCACCCAGCAGTCTTGCCTCACTCAGTAGTCTTGCCTCACTCAGCAGTCTTGCTTCACTCAGCAGTCATGCCTCACCCAGCAGTCTTGCCTAACCCAGCAGTCTTGCCTCACCAAGCAGCCTTGCCTCACCCGGCAGTCTTGTCTCACCTGGCAGTCTTGTCTCACCCAGCAGACATGTCTCACCCAGCAGTCTTGCCTCACTAGGCAATCTTGTCTCACCCAGCAGTCTTGCCTCACCCAGCAGATATGCCTCACCCAGCAAGTCTTGCCTCACCCGGCAGTCTTGCCTCACCCAACAGTCATGCCTCACCCAGCAGTCTTGCCACACTCAGCAGTCTTGCCTCACCCAGCAGTTTTGCCTCACCCGGCAGTCTTGTCTCACCCTGCAGTCATGCCTCACTCAGCAGTCTTGCCTCACTCAGCAGTCATGCCTCACTCAGCAGTCTTGCCTCATTCTGCAGTTATGCCTCAATCAGCAGTCATGCCTCACTAAGCAGTCTTGCCTCATTCAACAGTCATGCCTCACTCTGCAGTCATGCCTCACCCAGCAGTTTTGCCTAACCCAGCAGTCTTGCCTCACTCAGCAGTCTTGCTTCACTCAGCAGTCATGCCTCATCCACCAGTCTTGCCTCAACCAGCAGTCATGCCTCACCCAGCATTCTTCCCCTTTTTGGGGGGCCCCCTTTTTCCCCCCGGGGGCCCCCCCCGCCCCCCCCCCCCCTTTTGCCCCCCCCCTTTTCACCCAACCCTTTCCCCACCCCTTTCCCCCCCGGGCCCCCCCCTTCCCAACCCCCCCCCGCCTTTTTTTTTTCCCCCCTTTCCCCCCCCGGCCCCCCCGGGGGGGCCCCCCCCCCCCCCCGGGCCCAAAAATTTTTTCTTTTCCAACCCCTCCCCCACCCCTTTTTTCCCCAAAACCCCCCCCCTTTTTTTCCCCCCTTTTTCCCCCCCGGGTCTTCCCCCCACCTTCCCCCGGCCTTCCCCCCCGGCCTTCCTCAACCCCTTCCCCAAGGGCCCTTCCCAACCGGGTTTTTCCCCCAGCCTTGCCTCCAAACCCAGAAGCTTGCCTCACCCAGCAGGAATGCCCACCCAACAGTCGCCTCACCCGCAGTCTTGTTCACCCGGCAGTCTTTCCTCACCCAAGCAGTCTGGGGGCCCCCCCCCCCCCCGGTTTTTTCCCCCCCCCCCCCCCCTTTCCCCCCCCCCCCCCCCCCCAAAAAACCCCCCCCCCCCCCTTTTCCCCCCCTTTCCCCAAAAAAAAAGAACCTTCCCCAAACCCCTTTCCCCCCCGCCTCCCCACCGGGTTTTTTTTCCCCCCCCTTGGCCCCCCTTTTCCCCCCCAGCACCTTCCCCCCCCCATTCCCCCCCCCCACCCCTTTCAACCCACCCGGCCCCCCCCCCCCCCCGGCCTTTTTTCCCCCCCTTAACCCCAAGGTTTCCCCCCCAAAGGGCCCCCAAACCTCCTCCCCACCCGCCCCCCCCAACCCCCCCCAACCCCCCCTTCATTCCCACCCCTTTCACCCCCCAATTCCCCCCGGGCCCCCCCTTCCCCCCCGGGAAACCCCCCCCCCCCCCTTTTCCCTTCCCCAAATTTCCCCCCCCTTTTCCTTCCCTAAATTTCCTCACCAGAGTCTTGCCTTAAAGCAGTCTTGCCTCACCCGGCAGTTTTCCTCACCCAAAATCTTCCTTCACCCAACGGTCGCCTAACCCCCCCCCCCTTTCCCCCCCCCCAAAAAACCAAATTTTTCCCCCACCCGGGGCCCCCCACCAACCCTTTCCCCCCGGTCCCCCCCCCCCCCCCCGGTTTTCCCCCCTTTTCCCCCCGGGCCCCTTTTTTGGGGCCCCCCAATTTTTCCCCCACCCAGGGTCCCCCCCGGGGCCCCCCAACCTTTCCCCATCCGGTTAAAATTTTTTCCCCCAATTTCCCCCCGGCCCCCCCCGCCCCCCATCCCTTTCAACCCCAACCCTTTCCCCCCCGGGCCCCCCTTCCCCCCCCCGGCCCCTTTTCCCCGGCCCCTTTTTCCCCCGGCCTTTTTCCCCCCAATTCCCCAATTCCCCCCCCAACCCCTCCCCCCCCCCCCGGGGGGCCCCCCCCCCCCCCCCCCTCCCCCCCCTTTCCCCCGCCCCCCCCGCCCCCCCCGTTTTTTCCCCCCCCCCCGGGGTTTTTCCCCCGGGTTTTCCTTCCCATCAAAAAACCCCCCCGGGCCCCCTTTTCCCCCCAAAACCCCCCCCCCCCCCCCCCCCCCCCCCCCCCCAAAAAACCCCCCCCCTTTTCCCCCCCCCCCCCCTTTTTTTAAAAAAACCCCCTTTTTAAGCAATCCCCCCCCCCCCCCCAAATTTTTCCCCAAACCCCCCCCCAAAACCCCCCCCCTTTTTCCCCCCCCCCCCTTTTTCCCCCCCCTTTCCCCCGGGTCCCCCCCCCCCCCCCCCCCCCCCCGCTTTTTTCCCCCCCCCACCCCTTCCCCTTTCCCCCTTTTTCCCCCCCCCAAAACCTTCCAAACCCCACCCCCAAACACCTTCCCCAAAAACCTCCCCACCCCTTTCCTCAAGGCCTTTTCCCCCCAGGTTTTCCCCCCCTTTTTCCCCCCAGGGTTTTTCCCCCCGGTTTTTCCCCCCGGGTTTTCCCCCCCAAAAACCCCACCCCAAAGTCTTGCCTCACCCGGCCTTCTTCCCCCCCCCCAGGTTTTCCCCCCCCTTTTCCCCCCCCCTTTTTCCCCCCTTTTCCCCCCCCCCCCCTTTTCCCCCCCCCCCCCCCCTTTTTCCCCCCGGGTTTCCCCCCCTTTTCCCCCCAAAATTTTCCCCCCCCTTTTCCCCCCCCCGGGGGTTTTTCCCCCCCTTTTTTCCCCCCCCCCCCCCCTTTTTCCCCCCCCTTTTCCCCCCCCCCCTTTTTTCCCCCCAGGTTTTCCCCCCCAAAGGTTTTCCCCCCCAGGTTTTCCCCCCCCCCCCCCGGGTTTCCCCCCCCCCCCCCAAACCCCCCCCCTTTTTCCCCCCCCCCCCCCGGGTTTCCCCCCAAAGGTTTCCCCCCCGGCCTTCCCAACCCGGTTTCCCCCCCGGCCTTCCCACCCGGCCCCCCCGGCCTTCCCCCCGGCCTTCCCCCCGGCCTTCCCCCCGGGGCCTTCCCCCCGGCCTTCCTTCCCCGGCCCCCTTCCCCTTCCCCACCCCTTTCCCCCCAGGGTTGGGCCCCCCAAAGGTTCCCCCCAGGTTTCCCCCCAAGGGCCCCCCCAGGTTTTTCCCCCCCAGGCCCTTCCCCCAAACCCCCCCCCTTTTCCCCCCCCCCTTTTTTTCCCCCCCCTTTTTCCCCTCCCCCTTTCCCCCCCCCCCCCCCCTTTCCTCCCCCCTTTTTCCCCTTCCCCTTTTTTCCCCCCCCTTTCCCCCCCCCCCCCCCCCCCCCCCCCCCCCCCCCCCCCCCCCCCCCCCCCCCCCCCCCCCCCCCCCCCCCCCCCCCCCCCCCCCCCCCCCCCCCCCCCCCCCCCCCCCCCCCCCCCCCCCCCCCCCCCCCCCCCCCCCCCCCCCCCCCCCCCCCCCCCCCCCCCCCCCCCCCCCCCCCCCCCCCCCCCCCCCCCCCCCCCCCCCCCCCCCCCCCCCCCCCCCCCCCCCCCCCCCCCCCCCCCCCCCCCCCCCCCCCCCCCCACCCCCCCCCCCACCCCCCCCAGCAGTCCCCCCCCCTCACTCAGCAGTCTTGCCTCACCCAGCAGTCTTGTCTCACCCAGCAGTCTTGCCTCACCTAGCAGTCTTGCCTCACCCAGCAGTCTTGCCTCACTCAGCAGTCTTGCCTCACCCAGCAGTCTTGCCTCACTCAGCAGTCTTGCCTCACCCAGCAGTCTTGCCTCACCCAGCAGTCTTGCCTCACTCAGCAGTCTTGCTTCACTCAGCAGTCATGCCTCACCCAGCAGTCTTGCCTCACCCAGCAGTCTTGCCTCACTCAGCAGTCTTGCCTCACCCAGCAGTCTTGTCTCACCCAGCAGTCTTGCCTCACCCAGCAGTCTTGCCTCACCCAGCAGTCTTGCCTCACCCAGCAGTCTTGCCTCACCCAGCAGTCTTGTCTCACTCAGCAGTCTTGCCTCACCAGGCAGTCTCGCCTCACTCAGCAGTCTTGTCTCACTCAGCAGTCTTGCCTCACCCAGAAGTCTTGTCTCACCCAGCAGTCTTGCCTCACCCGGCAGTCTTGCCTCACCCAGCAGTCTTGCCTCACCCAGCAGTCTTGCCTCACCCAGCAGTCTTGCCTCACCCAGCAGTCTTGCCTCACCCAGCAGTCTTGCCTCACTCAGCAGTCTTGCCTCACTCAGCAGTCTTGCCTCACCCAGCAGTCATGCCTCACCCAGCAGTCTTGCCTCACCCAGCAGTCTTGCCTCACTCAGCAGTCTTGCCTCACCCAGCAGTCTTGCCTCACCCAGCAGTCTTGCCTCACCCAGCAGTCTTGCCTCACCCAGCAGTCTTGCCTCACCCAGCAGTCTTGCCTCACCCAGCAGTCTTGTCTCACCCAGCAGTCTTGCCTCACCCAGCAGTCACCCACCAGTCTTGCCTCACCCAGCAGTCTTGCCTCACTCAGCAGTCTTGCCTCACCCAGCAGTCTTGCCTCACTCAGCAGTCTTGCCTCACCGAGCAGTCTTGCCTCACCCGGCAGTCTTGTCTCACCCGGCAGTCTTGTCTCACCCAGCAGTCATGCCTCACTAAGCAGTCTTGTCTCACCCAGCAGTCTTGCCTCACCCAGCAGTCTTGCCTCACCAGGCAGTCTTGTCTCACCCAGCAGTCTTGCCTCACCCAGCAGTCATGCCTCACCCAGCAGTCTTGCCTCACCCGGCAGTCTTGCCTCACTCGGCAGTCATGCCTCACCCAGCAGTCTTGCCTCACTCAGCAGTCTTGCCTCACTCAGCAGTCTTGCCTCACTCAGCAGTCTTGCCTCACCCAGCAGTCTTGTCTCACCCAGCAGTCTTGCCTCACTCAGCAGTCTTGCCTCACTCAGCAGTCTTGCCTCCCTCAACAGTCTTGTCTAACCCAGCAGTCTTGTTTCACTCAGCAGTCTTGCATCACCCAGCAGTCTTGCCTCACTCAACAGTCTTGCCTCACTCAGCAGTCTTGCCTCAGTAGAATTGCCACACCCGGCAGACTTGTCTCACTCAGCAGTCTGGCCTCACCCAGCAGTCTTGCCTCACTCAGCAGTCTTGTCTCACCAAGCAGTCTTGTCTCACCCAGCAGTCTTGCCCCACCCAGCAGTTTTGTCTCACCCAGCAGTCTTGTCTCACCCAGCAGTCATGCTTCACCACGTAGTCTTGTCTCACCCGGCAGTCTTGCCTCACCCAGCAGTCTTGCCTATCTCAGCAGTCTTGCCTCACCCAGCAGTCTTGCCTCATTCAGCATTCTTGCCTCACCGGGCAGTCTTGCCTCAACCGGCAGTCTTGTCTCACCCGGCAGCCTTGCCTCACCCAGAAGACATGTCTCACCCAGCAGTAATGTCTCACCCAGCAGTCATGCCTCATCCAGCAGTCTTGTCTCATCTGGCAGTCTTGCCTCACCAAGCAGTCATGCCTCACCCAGCAGTCTTGTCTCATCCGGTAGTCTTGCCTCACCCAGCAGTCTTGCCTCACTCAGCAGTCTTGCCTCACCCAGCAGTTTTGTCTCACCCAGCAGTCTTGTCGCACCCAGCAGTCATGTCTCACCCAGGAGTCATGCCTCACGTGGCAGTCTTGCCTCACTCTGCAGTCATGCCTCACTCAGCTTTCATGCCTCACCCAGCAGTCTTGCCTCACTCAGCAGTCTTGCCACACCCAGCAGTCATGCCTAACCTAGCAGTCTTGTCTCACTCAGCAGTCTTGCTTCACCCGGCCATCTTGCCTCACCCAGCAGTCATGCCTCACCCAGCAGTCATGCCTCACCCGGCAGTCTTGTCTCACCCGGCAGTCTTGCCTCACCCAGCAGTCTTGCCTCACTCAGCAGTCATGCCTCACCCAGCAGTCTTGCCTCACCCAGCATCCATACCTCACCCAGCAGTCATGCCTCACCCAGCAGTCATGCCTCACCCAGCAGTCATGCCTCACTCAGCAGTCATGCCTCACCCAGCAGTCATGCCTCACCCAGCAGTCATGCCTCACCCAGCAGTCTTGCCTCACCCGGCAGTCTTGCCTCACCCAGCAGTCTTGCCTCACCCAGCAGTCTTGCCTCACCCAGCAGTCTTGCCTCACCCAGCAGTCTTGCCTCACCCAGCAGTCTTGCCTCACCCAGCAGTCTTGCCTCACTCAGCAGTCATGCCTCACCCAGCAGTCATGCCTCACCCAGCAGTCTTGCCTCACCCAGCAGTCTGGCCTCACTCAGCAGTCATGCCTCACCCAGCAGTCTTGCCTCACTCAGCAGTCTTGCCTCACTCAGCAGTCATGCCTCACCCAGCAGTCTTGCCTCACCCAGCAGTCATCACCCAGCAGTCTTGCTCACCCAGCAGTCTTGCCTCACCCAACAGTCATGCCTCACCCAGCAGTCATGCCTCACCCTTGCCTCAGCAGTCTTGCCTCACCCAGCAGTCTTGCCTCACACCCAGCAGTCTTGCCTCACCCAGCAGTTTGGCCTCACTCAGCAGTCTTGCCTCACCCAGCAGTCTTGCCTCACTCAGCAGTCTTGCCTCACCCAGCAGTCTTGCCTCACCTAGCAGTCTTGCCTCACCCAGCAGTCTTGTCTCACCCAGCAGTCTTGCCTCACCCAGCAGTCATGCCTCACTGCAGTCATGCCTCACTCAGCAGTCTTGCCTCACCCAGCAGTCTTGCCTCACCCAGCAGTCAGCACTCAGCAGTCTTGCCTCACCCAGCAGTCATGCCTCTCCCAGCATTCTTGCCTCACCCAGCAGTCTTGTCTCACCCAGCAGTCTTGCCTCACCCAGCAGTCTTGCCTCACTCAGCAGTCTTGCCTCACCCAGCAGTCTTGCCTCACCCAGCAGTCTTGCCTCACCCAGCAGTCTTGCCTCACCCAGCAGTCTTGCCTCACCCAGCAGTCTTGCCTCACTCAGCAGTCTTGCCTCACTCAGCAGTCATGCCTCACTCAGCAGTCTTGCCTCACCCAGCAGTCTTGCCTCACTCAGCAGTCTTGCCTCACCCAGCAGTCTTGCCACACAGCAGTCTTGCCTCACCCAGCAGTCTTGCCTCACCCAGCAGTCTTGCCTCACCCAGCAGTCTTGCCTCACTCAGCAGTCTTGCCTCACCCAGCAGTCTTGCCTCACCCAGCAGTCTTGCCTCACTCAGCAGTCTTGTCTCACCCAGCAGTCTTGCCTCACCTAGCAGTTTTGCCTTACTCAGCAGTCTTGCCTCACTCAACAGTCTTGTCTCACCCAGCAGTCTTGTTTCACCAGCAGTCTTGCCTCACCCAGCATTTTTGCCTCACCCAGCAGTCTTGCCTCACTCAGCAGTCTTGCTTCACTCAGGAGTAATGCCTCACCCAGCAGTCTTGCCTCACCCAGCAGTCTTGCCTCTCCCAGCATTCTTGCCTCACCCAGCAGTCTTGCCTCACCCAGCAGTCTTGCCTCACCCAGCAGTCTTGCCTCACCCAGCAGTCTTGCCTCACCCAGCAGTCTTGCCTCACTCAGCAGTCTTGCTTCACTCAGCAGTCATGCCTCACCAGCAGCAGTCATGCCTCACCCAGCAGTCTTGCCTCACTCAGCAGTCTCGCTTCACTCAGCAGTCTCTCACCCAGCAGTCTTGCCTCATCTAGCAGTCATGCCTCACCCAGCAGTCTTGCCTCACCCAGCAGTCTTGCCTCACCCAGCAGTCTTGCCTCACCCAGCAGTCATGCCTCACCAGCAGTCTTGCCTCACCTAGCAGTCTTGCCTCACCCAGCAGTCTTGCCTCACTCAGCAGTCATGCCTCACTCAGCAGTCTTGCCTCACCCAGCAGTCTTGCCTCACTCAGCAGTCTTGCCTCACAGTCTTGCAGTCTTGTCTCACACAGCAGTCTTGCCTCACTAAGCAGTCTTGCCTCACCCAGCAGTCTTGCCTCACCCAGCAGTCTTGCCTCACCAGGCAGTCTTGTCTCCAGTCTTGCCTCACCCAGCAGTCATGCCTCACCCAGCAGTCTTGCCTCACCCAGCAGTCTTGCCTCACTCAGCAGTCTTGCCTCACTCAGCAGTCTTGCCTCACCCAGCAGTCTTGCCTCACCCAGCAGTCTTGTTTCACTCAGCAGTCTTGCCTCACCCAGCAGTCTTGCCTCACTCAGCAGTCTTGCCTCACTCAGCAGTCTTGCCTCACCCAGCAGTCTTGCCTCACTCAGCAGTCTTGCCTCACTCAGCAGTCTTGCCTCACCCAGCAGTCTTGCCTCACTCAGCAGTCTTGTCTCACCCAGCAGTCTTGCCTCACCCAGCAGTCTTGCCTCACCCAGCAGTCTTGTCTCACCCAGCAGTCTTGTCTCACCCAGCAGTCATGCCTCACCCAGCAGTCTTGCCTCACCCAGCAGTCTTGTCTCACCCAGCAGTCTTGCCTCACCCAGCAGTCTTGCCTCATCTCAGCAGTCTTGCCTCACCCAGCAGTCTTGCCTCACTCAGCAGTCTTGCCTCACCGGGCAGTCTTGCCTCACCCGGCAGTCTTGTCTCACCCAGCAGTCTTGCCTCAC